CTCACACACACACACACACACACTATGACTTACCTCTCTTGTTGGCAGAAATTTTGAGAAGACAGTGCATGTGCTGTGTTGGCCCCACACCTACAAGTGGGCCACCAAATGAGATCCCATAGTGTCCTCTTTAAGGGACAGCATGACTCAGACAGATTCTATAAATGTTGCTTGACTGAGAGATCTCAGACTCATGTCGCCCACAGAGGACAAAAATGAATTGCCGGGTCTTAGAAGGATATATTATCATTCACAGCAACTCTCACAGTCGCTCAAAATACCAAAATGATTGGTAAACAAGCTTTATTCTAAATGAGTCACTTCTATGTTGAGTTCATACTAACAGCAGAGGAACTATGAGGTTAGTATGCTTGCAGTCGTTTAAAATCTAATGTTTGTCAGCATGAATTAATTTTTTAGGAGTAGTCAAATTCTGTTTATGATTTGGTTGACTTGTTTTGTTTTTGGTCACTATTGAGGCATTTGTTGTCATGCCCTCCACGTCCAGGACTGCTTAGTGGCAGCCTCTCCTTCCCCTTCCCTTCTCTCTTTCCCTTTTTTACTCAGGTAGGCGTGAGTTAGGTGTGTGAGCGGTATGCGGGCAGGTGCAGGTGAGTCAACACAACTGCATGGGGAGTGGTCCACCTGCAACTTATCACCGTCTGCAATAAAACCCACATCCAGACCATTACTGGACACTGGACTGTTGACTACCAATGTTAGTTTAACTCAGGTCTCTTCTCTGTTCTGCTCGTGTGACTTCTGTGATCCTAACCCGTTTCTCCCTCGCCTCAGTACTGGACCCACTCCACCGCTCCATCTTCACCCGGTTAAAGCCTCCAGTCCGTCTTCCACTGTTGATCTGCTCTGTCTGAATCCATTGTGAAAGATCCTCCACCTGTCCAGACGCCATACCTACCATGCCCCACACCAGCTCTGTCCACCTGCCCTTGCCCCTCCTCCCTGTCACTGCCCTTGCCCCTCCTCCCTGTCAGGCTGTCAGCTAAGTCACTCAACTCTGGCTGGGTCTTCACCAGTATAGTGTCGCCAATCATAGCTCGTGTGTATGTTTTCAGACTCTCTATTCTAGCGAGGTGTTTAGTGTGTTTCTGATTCCTTGTAAAATCGCAGTACATCAGTGATGCCTTCCTAACTTGGTATTACCCAGTCTGGGTCGGTATCATTCTGCTTGCTCACTATTTTGTCCTGACCTGTTCTAAGCTCTTCATTCAAGTTCTGTATAACATTTAGTTGTGTAATTCCCTGCCCATCCAGTAGTCGTCTCCAGAGGGAGCTCCAGTTCTCTCCACTATCCCCATAACATCTGTTCTCCGTTTCACGTATCATCTTGTGTAAATAAATTCTATTTTGGCAACACTTGGTCTGCTGTGTGCATTTGTCCTGCACTTGAGTCTCTGATCTGCTCCATGACATTTATTGCATTTCAAGTGACACTATTGATATTTCACCTCTACAGTAGCACGGTCTGTGTGCAGAAAGCAAAATGGGATATCTCATGAGCATCTTGTGGTGCCTGTGGTACAGAGTGTTGTCCTCTAATCTTAAGGATGCAGGTTTGGTATCAGGTTCCTCTTGGACATGTGGTGAACTACACCATCTGTAGTGGCTGCAGCAGCTTTTGGCAATCACAATCTAAAAGCTAATCAGTTTCTCCAGGAATTGCCTGTTCACTTGCACAAACTACAGACTGTCTACAGGACAGTCAGCTTCTTCATCCACACAGTTTTTTTCAGACCAGGCTGCTCAACAGAAACAGTAAACTGTTGCCTCATTGAAAATATTAAACAGAGCATGGATGGGGTTAATGTAGTGGGAGCTGTTTTTCTTGACCTCAAAAAGGCATTTGATACTGTCAAAATGATTTCTTTTGGTTTTTCCTCTGAGACAATTGATTGGTTTACATCATATTTACAGAACAGAGAACAATGTGTCAAAGTTCAGCAGAACACATCGAAATAATTTTGAAATACCCACATGGGCACATTGGTCCCTAGCTGTTCAGTCTTTTCATTAATGACCTGCTGATAAACTGCTCCACTGCAACATGTCAATTTTATGCAGACGATGCAGTTGTATATATGACCACCAAGACACCAGCACAGGCTGCAGACATCCTGTCTTCATGTATGGTTAATGTCCAAGAGTCGTTTGTTCAAAATCACCTCGTATTAAACCTGGAAAAAACAGTGTCCATGTGTTTCTCAGGAAATCACAACATTTTAAAGTTAATATACAAAACCAAGAAATCATTCAGTGACAGAATTCAAGTACATTGGGGTTGTATTAGACCCTTAACTTAAATGTATTCTCCATGTAAAGAAGATTTCAAACAGTTAAAAAAAAAAAAAAAACTGAACTGCTTTAAATTAATCAGAAATTATATTCCCAACCAGGCAGCCCTACTGCACATGCACGCTATGATTTTCTCCCAAATCTCATACTGTCAGTTTGGGCTCAAGCAGCCCCATCTACAATAAAAACCACAGGTTCATGATACAATCAAGCTCTGAAAATTACAAATAAAAAAAACAATTCGATGGCATCACTGTCTTATTTTTTAAAAACACTTTTAGTTTTGAAATCTTAATCGATCTTTGCTTCCTCAAATTAATCTTTAAATCCCTCAATAAATCAGTGCCACAGCCACTCTGTGTATTCATCCATAGACAGGACAGCAGCAGCGTCACCAGAAGCTCCACCCTACACATTACCAAAAATTATATATTAGCAGAACAGCAAAAAAAATAAAAAGAATGTACCCACCTATGACATGTATAGGTCTGATTTGCTTGTGCCATTGTGTGTGGATGGGGGGGGGGGAAGGAGATTATAAGTTTATAATGTCTGTGCTGCTTTTTTGGTGTTGTTGGCCCTTTGTCTATTTTTACAAAAAAGCCCAATCATGGACAGGAGTTGAAAATTAGCTTAATGCTATACACCCTATATACAATACATCAGATGTTTTCTATGCTAAAATGCACGGTGTTACGGGACGGTTCGAAGACTCATGCGCGAGGCAACGTGACACGGACAGACAGGCAGTTTAAACAATAATTTATTGGTACACACAGGAAATAAGCACAGAACTCAACGAGGTTTGCAGGCAGGGCAAACTACACCCATTAGTGGTTGACTGAACTAATGAACTAAGACACGGACCTGAGTTCGGTACCACCGAGTCGGGAACCGGGAAACCAAAACTAGACTAAACTGAGGAACAACTAAAAGAGGACACCATAAGGTGCTAACGAGGAAACTCAATAAACAAAAGGCTATATATAAAGCTAGCGCTACGCACAGACTGGCGGACTTAATTCACAGCGAGGAGAAACAGAACATACAGACAGGTAGACTAGAGGAAGTCTCAAAAGCTAACGCTACATACAGACTGGCAGACTGAGTGCAATATTAAGAATTACATGACGTACAGAAAGGTAGACAAAAGCTGTCTCAAAAGCTAGTGCTAAATACATAAATAATAATAATAAATCAGGATGCTAATTTATGAGGCTAGCAAAACCACACTGGAAGAACCAGACCTGACAGGAGCCGACCGAGTGGCGCAGAGGGGTTGGCGTTGCCGCGGCGGCGGTGGAGAGGCAGGCGGAGACCGGGGGCGGACGCCAGGGAGTCCAGGGAGGGGAAGGTGAGCGGAGCTGGTGCTGGTGAGCTGACGGAGCCGCAGTGGTGGAGCGGCGTCGG